TGTGACAATGACAATAGTGTTGGGGGGGGGGGGGGGAATACGGTGACGACATCTGTCTTGCTATCAAGTACCCTGCCATGAGGTTACATTAACACAAAATGCGAAGCCTCACCTTCCAAGCCTTCTCTGCTGGAAGGATGTCAAGGGCGCTTTGGAGCACTGGCGACTTGTCGGCAGTCATGTGCCGTGCCACTTTTGCTGGCAACTCGTCCTCATCGCACGTGGATTCTTCGTCATCATCTGACTGGCGTTTCCGCTTCAAAGCTTCCCTGCCAAGCGAGGCTGCCGCACGCGGTGACGCTCGCTTGCGCTTGCGCCCCTTGCCAAGGGCAATGATGGTTAGTACGTGTGACTCCAGTTTTCGCGGTATCCTTCTGTGAATCACGCAACGCCTCAAATTCCTCGCGTGTGACATGGCCACCGGCTGCTTCTTTCCGCTTCCTCGAAGATGGCACTTTAGGGGCCTGCTCGTCCTCTGATCCGTTTTCCCCACACGGATCGTTGCTTGACGACTGACCACCAGTGTTTCCCTCCTCGTCGCCCTCCTCTTCGCCTTCCATTAACTCGTCTATCAGGCGTTCCTTCATGGCCTCGGTGTCGTCCTCCACCGGGGGTGCGCTTGCGACAATGGGCGTGAAGGCTGCCTCCGCGTCGACGGCCCCGACAGCCTCGGCGTTGCATATCTGCAGCGGCAGTTCTTGAGTCTCTGGGATAATGGGTGTGGTATGTAGTACGGTGTTATGTTTGCGTGCACATACGACCTCACTCCCCAGTGTCATGCATTATCACGTCAACATCACAGGCAACATAATTGTTTTGTCATCCAAGTGTTACCTTCGTTATGCCCCGCCTCCTTATCCTCCTTGATACTCTTTACTGTGCTGGTTTTGCACCTCTTGGGCTCCGGTATGCGTCCCCCTTTCTTCTTCCTCTCCGGGTACTGATATGCATCCGCCAACCATGACGGCGCATTCTTCTTTCGCTTGGAACGACCGCCCTCTGCGGGACTCATCTCGACCTCTAGCGGAGACAGCATCAACGACTGCAGACACCGGAAGCTCGAAATGGCGTGGCTGAAACCCAGCTTGGGGTTCTACTCACCCTCTCACCAGTCCCATCACCACCCTCGTGGATGTCGCAATGCCCGATACCGGACTTGCTCACCGCACATATGTACACATGTCACGGTTGGAGTGGCTAGGTGGATTACCTTTCAATGTCAGCCACACTTTGCACATGGAAAATGTCGTCGTTCCACGATCGTGACACTCGATGCTCGTCCTCGTCTCTGTTACATGCGATACACCACAAACACACAACATAATTTCTACACTGGCGATATCTGCTTCTGACAACATAACTCATTTACGACCTGATGCTGTACAACTAGCCCCAATTGTTTTTACATAGACATGTGCCTGCGTATACGGTGATGCGACATACATTTACAACGTCCTGATGGAGACATTACAAGGTCGTCTTACATTCGACAATTTCCAAACCACTCCAAACTAACCTGCACCCGTACTCAGGCCTGACAACATCAGCACATAACTAGAACATCCCTTGGTCCAATGGCTTCCCTATTCATGGCTTCATGCAGCAGTGTCTTTATGGTTGACCTCCTCCCAGTCATCTTCCTCATCCATGTCATCGTTCCCTGGTTCATATACAGCATCATCGTCAACAGACTCCTCGTCATCTGTGTAGTCCTCTGGTGGGTTCACAGGTTCTTTAGCCATAGGCTGATCCTCTGTAGTCTGCGTGGTCGCCTCCACCTCCTCAACGTCATGCATGGCTCGGGTGACTCTGCCCTTTCGCCACGAACGGTTCTCGGGCGGCTGGGCATCATCCAGACCCTCCATTGCGGCTCTCCACTCCCTCCATCTGTTCCAGCACCCGTACTTCACGAGTAGCCTTAGGATCTCCTCGGTGCAGCCGGCGAGCGCATGCCTCTCCTCGTCGGACAGCTGCACTGTGCAGCTGATGCGGGAGTTAGGGCGAAGGACAACGGCTCCCGCAGCATACGCGTGTCCTTGTCCTCGTACGACCCCAGACGAACCTGCTGCCGGCGAGCAAATATGACCCGGACATAGTACCTCTGCTTCGCTCCGTTCCACATAACTCCCGTCCGTCCGTTGCTTGCGACCCTTCCGGGGTTACCTGGAGCGGCAAGCACGGGAGTCGAAGCGCGGCTGCGCAAAGCCAGTGCAAGCTGGCCGCACTCTTGATGCCGGACCACAGCAGGTGTCGCTTCGCCGGCAGCTACCTGGCCATCTTTCATGGCAGGTGTGCGCGGTGTAGGGCAGGGAGATATTGCTGGTACTGCCGCCAGTGCACACGTCTAAGGAGTCCGTGCGCTCTCCATCTGGCCACTTCCGTCCGCAGTGTTCTCTGCTGTGGCGTGCTTGCGTGGAGTTGCCGTCGGCACCAGCGTTTCGGCCACGGCACTGAGGTGTTGGCGCGCTCCTGCGTTCAGCTCGTCCGACGTCACGCCTTTGCGGATGGCCAGATACTCGATCTTGGCTGTAAGAACCTGAATGTTATGCTCCAGCACTGCGAACTTCTCTTTGTGGTCGAGTAGCTCTCTTTGGATGTCCACGGGTGGGTCGACGCACATGTATCCGTTGTCGTCGATAACGGGAACAGGCTGCAGAGGGATGCGGAGACCCTGGCGCTGCAGCTCGGGTATCAGCGTTCCCTCGGCATGAGAACAAAGATCTGCACGCATATTGTGGCGGTACATGTATGCGCTCACTCCCTTGAACGATATGTACTCACGCACGGTTACGAACCCAGATGCCACCAGAGCTTCAAGATACTGGCACATGTACACCCCACAGTCCCAGCTGTTAGGTTGTTTGGGATCTGGTGACCCTGCGAACAATTGAGTCACGAAGATTCAACACATCAGAATACGCTCCTGTGATAGCAACAAATTGGAGCAGCTTGAGCCACCGTCTTTCCAGCTACTCACCTCCATGGTCATCGTTGTGGCTTTGATAAGCGCCTGCCTAGCCGCCTCTCGGTCCACCTTCAGATGATCGTGTTGGCACATGAGGTGTAGTAACCTGCACGACCACATAGCCACCCGGTCATATGCGGCCACAAGACGTGTACAACTGCACGTGTTGCACCCTGGTCTGTAACGACACCCACGCTTTAGTCCCGTCGAAGGCATCCGTCGTCTTGGTGTGGAGGCCATCACTGTCGAATAGAGTGAATTCCACAGGAGCGGTAGTCGGGGTTACAATCCCGCTCGGGTTGGTTACCACCATCAAAGAATAGTGCTCCCTGCACGATCCACGATTTATTGTTAGGCGGGGGCGTCATATGGGCCTATTAGACTGCCGGGGAAAAGAGCAACAAGACAGAGGTAGCATAGCGCCACATCCACAAGCTACTCAGCGGTACCTTCGATCGCGATGGCACGCGTATGCAAGCACCGCCAACGTGTGGTGATATAGCGGCGATGGAGGGAATTAGTCGAGACAAAAACGTGATGGTGACAGTAACACCCGAGCCGCACACGGTAACTGGCCGACAACCGGTGGTAGACTCCTCTGATGACGAAACTGATGATGGCGACGCAAGGGCTACGATGTCAGATACTGGATGTGAGCTGAAAGGGCAGCCCAAGACAACACCGAGGGGAGATGTAAATGACGCGGACCGTGCACCTTATAGCCCGGAAACGCTCCAGGTTGAGGAAATAGCCGCGGGTGCGAAGCGTGGAGATCCCCAGGCCGAGGCACGCGCATGTTCTACCCGCGCGAATGAACTCTTCGACTTTTTCTTCGGGGACAACAGGGGCGACGGGAACAATGTGCCCGTTGAGACGGGAGGGTCCGATCCTCCAAACAAAGCCAGGTCGAGCTCTGCGTACGGTGCCCCAGGTGCTTGCGTGTATAGCGCCGCTACTCCTACAACGCACGTCCAGTCAGTCACAGATGCGTACCAGACAGTACAACATGTTTGACTGTGTACTGCCATCTTTGAGAGCTTCTTGTGCACATTATTGACAGTGCGCTGCGCTGCGTTGCGTACATGTCTCTAAGGATGCCCGGAGGTACGTACACACGAGTATCGGCGCTGCCGCGTGAGGCGCAGGCGCATGCACGGCGAGGAATCTGAAGGTAAGCTGCATCCTGCTATTTGCCGTGGCCGTTGCTTCCCATTGCCTCACCAATTGTCGTCGTGCCATAATGACAGATGCTCCCAGGACCACCAACATTGATGGAGCGTTGCTTCTGTTAGATGTTCTTGATCGTCTCATGCCGCGACATCGTATTCGACGTGACCACCATGATAGCTATTTCTGATAAGATGACCACTTTGTGGCAATATGGTTTGTGGCAGCAGTACTTGGTACGTCTGGATTTTCCGAGACAACGGTTCTGTGTTAGATTGGAAATATGCTCTGGAGGTTTCATGTTCTTGGATTGGTTGGATGCGTCCTATAGGTTTTTTAGAGGAGTTGACAATTGTTGTATTATTTGGTCTGTATGTGTCTTATGGTATTAAGTTATTGTGCCAAATACAAGCAACGTGGTAACATCGACGCCCGATGTTTTGCTGTACCGAGTATACACCCACAGTCATCTAACGATCGCGCCTGTAACCAGCAAGTGGTTTCTTGACACGGGGATTTCTTACCGCAGATATTTGAGCCGGTTAGGGTTTCTCGTTAGGTATAAAGTCAACCGCCGAGACTCTCCGACCATCGTGCATGCACGATGGCTTCGTCGCGCCATTATACAATAGGTGATGCTGGGATGACGTAGGAGGTGGACAGTTGACTCGAACAAGCATTAGTGGTAACTAGAGAAATAGAACGCTGGGCGGTGCGCGATAAGTGAAGTAGGGGGTTTCGGTGGCTGGAAACAGGGTGTACGGCGTGTAAAGGAGAACATGCTCGACGTATCGGTAGGGCAAGGGGGGAGTAGAGGGGAAGCCAGGGAACGGCCCTTGCGTAGGGGTGGGTGCGTAGGTTAAAACTTATGGCAGGGAACATGTGCGGGGCGTGTGGGCTCGAGCTTGATTTAGACAACTTACTGAGGACCCATCTGTACCGCAATGACACGTGCAGGGACACGCTGCTGGAGAGGTTAGAGAGTAGGGCGGTGGAGGCGTTGGCGGAGGCTTTGGCCGTCGTGAGAAATAGCCCGCATCATTCCGACACTGAGTCTGTCTTGGGTAGCCCCCACTCCGCGGACTCGCTGTTCCGATTTCTGAGAGAGTCCCCTGCGCATGCGGACTTTGTGCGCGGGTATGTGTCGTCGTCGGACGATGGATCAGTTTCCACAGTTGGCGACCTGTTCAATACCTTGAACGAGTTGTACCTCTTCTTCAAGGACGCCGACTTGTCGGACAGAGAAATAAATAGAGGGTTGCACACATTCAACCACCCGGGATACGATCCTGCAGCGGTTCGACGATGGCAAAACGTCGCGGACGTGAGGCGGTATGGGGAGGAACACACGCCGGATGACATGGTGCCGTGGCTTAAGGCAGAGATTGAAGTGCGGGGCCCCGGAGGAAGGTCTCAGATGCTGGAACTGTTATTCAAGGACACCAAGCTGGTGAGCTAGGGATGATTTGTGCAGTAACGAGGGGGCTTGGTCTATGTCTGTTTATGCACTGGCTCTAAACAGGGTTAGGACGCCTATGTGTGGGCAGATTGCGCAGAGGATGGTGAAGACATTTGTGAATGTCAGGGGATTTGTCAAAAGGCCGCGGCAAGATCCGGAGGATACGGATGACACGAGACATTTCAGTACGCCCGACACAGGGACCTGGTTGGAAGACGCGCAGGCAAGTAGATGCACATGGCCCCTAGCGTCATATGGGGCGACAACGTGTCTTGGTCTGACTTTATTGGTCGCATTGTGTCTTTGTCAGGCGGAACTGCCGAAGGAGGATTCAATGGTCCTGGGTGTCATCTCGTACAGCAACAGCACTTACGCGTCGAGGAATGGACTCCTATAGGCATGGCCAATGCTGATGGGTTTGGTCAATGTCCCGGAGGAGTTACGATGGCGGAAGCCAGGGCACGCTCTGGTGGGTGTGCTCCCGTTTCCGCCAGAGTGGGCATCGACGACGGAGAAGACTCGGGTGTATCAGGAGGCTTATCGCATCGTGATGGGTCCGTTGATGCGAGAGAGCCGCGAGTAAGTGGTCTCAATACATGTTGTAGGCCGATGGAGGCGATGGGGTTCATTATCGGCCTCTGAATGCCATCAAACCTTAACATTGTGCATGCAGTGGTCCTCTTCGATACTTCGATGTGTCAGACGGGCGCGGAGGTGTGGTGAAGGCATATCCATGCCTGTATGCATTTGTCGGCGACTATCCTGAAGGGTGCCGGGCCACAGCAACGATGCAGCAGGCTTCGCACAGACCGTGCTCGAGCTGCTACATCAAGCGGGCGCACCTCCATGACCTGTCGCACAAGTTCATATTGCGCAACGTGAAGAGGGAGCGGCACGCGACGGCGAAGATACTGAGCGCAACCTCGGTGGACGACGCTGCAGCGGTCCAGGCCAGGTGGTCTACGCAACCGATCACGGTACGCGCGAAGCGTTCATGTGTGGCATCTCACAGTTATGAGTATCATCCTCGTCGGTAGGCACACGATTGTTGAGGCATGTTGTTGCAGTTTAGGATGATTCTGACAGCACAATCGGGTGTACAGAGCGTTCTGGAGCGCTAGAACTTCTCTGAGACGAGGTGGGGCAACGTCTTCCTGGCGGTTGTTGGCAACATATTGCATGTGCTGGATTCCGGGGTGCTGGTGCATATGGCCACCTGTTTCATGGATGGGAAGACGAAGGCTGAGATTCGAGGGTTTGATCAGTGAGTACTCATAACTTCCGTGCCTTGTTTTGTATGCGGTACCACTCCCTTGGCGGAACTGAATACGGGAACTGTGGCATTGCGTTGATTATGTGTGCTGGGTGTGTGGAACAGCCGCAAGTTTGGAGTGAAGGGCGACACAAGGAGTGCCCTGGTGCGCATCCTGGGTGGCTCCACCTTTTTCCGCAGCGGTGCTAATTACGCAGCTTTCGAGTACCGTGGCATGATGCAGGTTTTCCCGATTATAATATCGGACCTGCGTGTGGGGTGCTCTGCAGAGGAACGGGACCAGAGGGATAAGGAGGTTCGTGCCTTCCGCTACTATGCGGTCTTTTTCAAGTCTCTGCTGGCCGTGACCAAGCACACGCGGCTTACCCTCGCTATCGCAAGGCAGCATGGCATCTCGTGAGTAAACATATTGGACGTGTGTTTCCGTGCTGTGATTGGCCATGTTGTACACTGGGGTGCTGGGGCCATTTGCTCATTACGATGTGTCTACACATACGTGTAGACTGGTTGCTGCACTGCAGGGGGCTTTCCCAAAGCAGAAGTCAAAGTGGAACTTCGTGAAGCTCCACGAAATCGTGCACCTCATCGATGGCATATCCATGAGGGCATATCGATGGCACGAGTCTTCTACGGAGCTGTGGGAGCATACACACAAGGGTACCGTGAAAGGCCCCGTGCGCGGCAGCAACTGGAAAGACATACCAAGGAGGATTGTCGAGGAGGAGACGCAGCGCGAGATCACTCGGGAGATTGCGGCGCTGTCGGGTGGTGGGAGAACATACTACACTGCACTGCGAGAGGTACATAGCGATTCGCCGTGTAGTGTAGTAGACATTTGTTGAGGTCACCCAGGTGTGCGCATTGTTTGGAAGTAATCACGCCACGCGTTCCACCCATGCGTTCTAACAATCCACCGCGCAGGCTGTGCGCAACATGAAGCCAGCGCTGACCCGCACCAGCAAGGCCATGTGTCTCATGGCGGCCGATGATCCACTGCGGATGCTGTACAGGGAGATGGTGGGAAGCGAGTTTGACAACATGGCGACACTCATGGCCGCGGCAGGCCTTCAGACTGCGCGGGTGTTGGTGAGATATCGTGTTGTGCTATTAAGTTAATCGACGGGGTTCGGATTGGAATGTGGGTTGTGCGTTGTGAGGGCGGGGCGTACGTGAAGGAGCATGGTGATACAATGTGATGGTCCTCATGCAAACCCACCCATGCACGGCAGGTCCACACCGCGGTGGCCATCCCTAGCACGAAAGGAGGGTACTTGGTTCCGAAGGCGATGTTCGTGAAAGCAAGCCCGAAGGAGAACTGGTTTACCGACATTGCAATCCCGGGAGAGAGGGAGGAGGATGAGGAGGAGGAGTGGTGGTATGCGCGGTGTCTTTGTATTTTCAGGGCGGTTAACGGCAGCGGGGAGGAGGGTGCGTACGTATTCGTGAAGTATTACAAGGAGGAGGGGGTGTGTCCCCAGACACTTTGCCCCCAGCTCGTGCCTGGGCGGAAGGAGGCCACACACGGGATCATTGAAGTTGCGTCGATCGAGCGCATTGTCCACGTGTGCAAGTCGTTTACTAATCCTAGAGTGCTGCTACTCAATAGGTTCGCTCTGATCGACTGATGGATGTTGATGTTTGCCATTGACTTTGCGGATCGCCGATTTGGTATTTGTTATGAAAATAATAAATTAATAACGCGAGATATGAGAAGCAGGTGGGACATGGCCTGGATCATGGTGTACATGGCCCCCTGAACACGCAATTGTCACTGCATTGCAATGTTGGCGACACTTGACATTTGTTGCTGCAATGTCACTTTGGCCACTCAGCTGTAAATGTGTGCGCCGAAGGGTTTCCGAAGCTTTTCCAAAGCTTTCCCGCAGGAAAAGCTACCGTGTACATTTTGTGCCCACTCGGAATTTCGCGATGTTTCACTCCCCCCCTCCTCCCTATCACTCCCCTTCCACGTTGCAAGCACTCCCTTTCCAATCGCTATCCCTCCCCTTCCCCTTCGTTAGCTCCCCCTTCCCCCTTGCGACCATTCCCCTTCCCCGTCAGTCTCACTCCCCCTCCTTGTCGCGTTCCCTCCCCTTCCCCCTCTCTAGCGTGCCCGTCCCCCCCCCCCCCCCCCCCCCCCCACGCACGCCCTCCCCTTCCCCTTCGGGAGCACTCCCCTTCCCCGTCGCCATCACTCCCTTTCCTCCCTCGAGAGCTCTCCCTTTCTCCACCGCTAGCACTCCCCTCCCCCGGCGCTATCACTCCCTCCCCGTCATTATCACTCCCCTTCCCCATCAATGTCACCCCCCTTCGCTGTTGCCTTCTCTCCCCTTTCCCCTCGCTCACGTGCACGTTCCCCCCCCATGCGCGCCCTCCCCTTCCCCCGTCACTATCACTCCCCCTCCTCGTTGCGTTCCCTCCCCTTCCCCCTCGCTAGCGTGCCCGTCCCCCCCCCCCCACGCACGCCCTCCCCTTCCCCTTCGCGAGCACTCCCCTTCCCCGTCGCCATCTCTCCATTTCCCCCCTCGATAGCTCTCCCTTTCCCCACTGCTAACACTCCCCTCCCCCGTCGCTATCACTCCCTCCTCGTCACTATCACTCCCCTTCCCCCTCGCGACCATTCCCCTTCCCCGTCACTGTCACCCCCCTTCACTGTCGCCTTCTCTTCCCTTCCCCCTCGCGAGCGTACACATTCCCCCATGCGCGCCCTCCCCTTCCCCCGTCACTATCACTCCCCCTCCTCGTCATGTTCCCTCCTCGTCATGTTCCCTCCTCTTCCCCCTCTCTAGCGTGCCCGTCCCCTCCCCCACGCACGCCCTCCCCTTCCCCTTTGCAAGCACTCCCCTTCCCCGTCGCCATATCTCCCTTTCCCCCCTCGAGAGCTTATGCTTTCCCCCCGCTAGCACTCCCCTCCCCCGTCGCTATCACTCCCTCCCTTTCACTATCACTCCCCTTCCCCCTCGCGACCATTCCCCTTCCTCGTCATTGCCACTCCCCTTTGTTGTCGTGAAGTCTCCCCTTCCCCCTCACTCGCGTGCACGTTCCCCCTCATGCGCGCCCTCCCCTTCCCCCGTCACTATCACTCCCCCTCCTCGTTGCGTTCCCTTCCCTTCCCCCTCTCTAGCGTTCCCGGCCCCTCCCCCCCACACACGCCCTCCCCTTCCCCTTCGCGAGCACTCCCCTTCCCCGTCGCCATCTCTCCCTTCCCCCCTCGACAGCTCATCCTTTCCCCACCACCAGCACTCCCCTCCCTCGTCGCTATCACCCCCTCCCCGTCATTATCACTGCCCTTCCCCTTCGCTATCTCTACCTTTCCCCCAACTAGCACTCCCCTCAACCGTCGCCATCCATCCCCTTTCCCGTCGCTATCATCCCCCTACTTCATCACTAGCAATCCCCTTCCCCCCTCCCCGCTAGCAGTCACCTTCCCCATCTCTCGCACTCCCCTTCACCATCACTAGCACTCCCCTCAATCGTCGCCCTCAATCCCCCTCACCGTCACTATCATTCCCTTCCCCGCTCACTAGCACTCCCATTCCCCCTCGCTATCACACCCCCTGGCCGTTGCAAGCACTCCCCTTCCCATTCGTGGGCGGTCCCCTTTCCCCTCGCCGTGTACTCCCCTTCCCCGCGCTAGCACTCCCCCTCCCCTTCGCAGGCAATCCCGTTTCCCCCATGCGCGCCCTCTCTTTTCCCGTCGCGCGCACTCCCCTTCCTCGTCGCATTCTCTCCCCTTCCGTTACCGTCGCAAGCACCCTTCCATGTGCATCCTCCCCTTTCCCTTCATCGCAAACACTCCCCTTCCCACTCGCCATCTCTCCCTTTCCCCCCAGCTAGCACTCCCCCCCTCCTCCCTATCACTCCCCTTCCACATCGCAAGCACTCCCTTTCCGCCTCCCCAACACTCCCCGCTCCTCATCGATAGCTCTCCCTGTCCCCACCGAGCGCATTCCCCTCCCTGTCGCTACCACTCCCTCCCCGTCAATGTCACTCCCCTTCCCCGTTGCTATCACTCCCCTTCCCTGTCGCATTCAATCCGCCCCTCCACCCTATCACTCCCTTTCCCCATCGATAGCTCTTCCTTTCCCCACCGCTAGCACTCCCCTCCCCCGTCGCAATCACTCCCCTCCCCCATATATCACTCCCCTTCCCCGTTGCTAACATTCCCCCTTCCCCGTCACTATCGCTCCCTCCCCTTCCCTGTTACTCTCCCCTGAAACCCTCAATAGCGTGCCCGTTCCCCCCCCATGCGCGCTCTCCACTTCCCCGCCTTGCAAGCACTCCCCTTCCCTTAGGGATCGCTATCCCTCCCTTTCCCCCCAGCTAGCACTCCCCCCCCTCCTCCCTGTCACCCCCCTTCCACGTTGTCACTATCCATCCCGTTCCCTGTCGCGTTCTCTCCCCTTCCCTCTCGCTAGCGTGCCCGTTCATCCCCACGCGCGCCCTCCCCCTCCCCTTCGCTAGCATTACCCTCCCCCCTCGCTATCTCTCCCTTTCCCCCCAGCGAGCACTCCCCCCCTCCTCCTCCTGTCAAACATTATATATGTTGTGCTTGTGTAGGCTGTAGTGGGTTAGCCTATAGGGGGGTCACCACATTAGGGTTTCATATTTGTCCTCACAATGCTTTCTAGTTCACCCATTCCAGTCTCTTCTAATGACATGGTTTCAGAGCAGGTCCTTCGCTAGGACCGTTCTTAGGGCCCACCACTGAATACCTACCTACCTATCTACTGTCGGAGTGCTGCGTTAGCGCCTCCCCCTCAGCGCCCTAGTGCGCCCTCGTGTACGGCCCCTTAAGGCTTCGTCGACCCCGCGCGCCGCCCCTTAGTGACCCGCGCGTCGCTCCTTAGAGGCCCCGTCGACCCGCGCGCGCCCCGCTTAAGGCCCCGTTTGGCCCCGTCGACCCGCCCGCGGCCCGCTTAGTGGCCCCGTTTAGCCCCGTCGACCCGCGCGCGCCCCACTTACAGCCCCGTTTGGCCCCGTCGACCCGCGCGCGCCCCGCTTAGAGGCCCCGTTTGGCCCCGTCGACCCGCGCGCGCCCCGCTTACGGCCCCGTTTGGCCCCGTCGACCCGCGCGCGCCCCGCTTACGGCCCCGTTTGGCCCCGTCGACCCCTTCGCGCCCCGCTTAGTGGCCCCGTTTGGCCCCGTCGACCCGCGCGCGCCCCGCTTACGGCCCCGTTTGGCCCCGTCGACCCCGCGCGCGCCCCGCTTAGAGGCCCCGCTGGCCCCGTCGACCCCGCGCGCGCCCCGCTTAGAGGCCCCGTCGACCCTATCCGCCGCCCCAAAGCGGCTCCGTCGACCCTACCCGCCGCCCCTACCCGCACCGCACGCGACAGCCGCGGCCCCGCCAGCAACAGGCCGCCCGAACAGAGCCGCCCGAACCGAGCCGCCCAGTCCGAGCCGAGCCGAGCAGCCAGAACCGAGCCGCGCCGCCCGCACTGAGCAACTTCTCTGGACCGAGCCGCCCTACCTGCGTCGCGCTGCCCACTGCTTTTAGGACTCACTTACTGCTACTGCTACTGCTACTCCTACTGCTACTATGGCTACCCCGCCTGTACTAGCTTTCGATGCTGAGGGCCGCCCGGTGAAGTTTGACACCTGGCTTGATGACCTGCACCTCTTCCTACAGCTCACTGCCAAGGAGGATATCTCACTGTATGACCACGCCCTCGGCCATGCTCCTGCCCCTGCTACTGATGCTGACAGCACTACCCGCTCACAGTGGCAGACTCGTGACGCCCACGCTCGCTTTGCCATCCGCAACTCCCTGCCGTTAGATGAGCGCGAGCACTTCGGCCAGTGCAAGACTGCTAGGGACCTCTACACCGCTGTAGTTGCCCGTTACTCCTCACCCGCTTCTGCTACGCTAGGCCGCCTCACTCTTCCCTACCTGTTCCCCGACCTAGCCTCCTTTCACACTGTCGCAGACCTCATCACCCACCTTAAGACTAGTGAGGCCCGCTTTCGCGCTGCTATGCCTGCCGAGTTTCTCACTAGCAACCCCCCCCGCTCTGGATCACTCTCTACCACATCGTCACCCGCCTCCCTGACTCTCTGCGCGCAGTCAGGGACCACTTCCTCTCTCGCTCCCCCACTGAGCTCACCGTAGACCTCCTCGAGAAGGAACTGCTTGCAGCTGAGGCGAGCATCGTCGCTGTAGGCACCTCTCGTGGCGACCCCCGCACCCCGTTCTTTGAGGGATGTTCCTCTTCCCCCCTCCTCCCCTCTGTCGCCTCTGCTGCTGCTGTCGACCTCCTTGGTGCTGAGAAGGTCGGGACCGCGTCTGCTTCGAGCGGGCGCCGCAGGGGCAAAGGGGGCAGGGGCGGGGGTGGCGGCGGAGGAGGTGGGGGTGGAGGCGGTGGGAGTGGAGGCGCGGCTGAGGAGGCTAGTGGCGGCAGTGGGGGAGGCGACAGCAGCGGCGGGAGTGGTGGCAGGGGCGGAGGCGGCAGCGGAGGCGGAGGTGGTCGTGGTGGCGGCAGGGGTGGAGGTGGCCGGGGCGGAGGCGGAGGGGGTGGTGGTCGTGGAGGCACTGGCGGAGGGCAGAGTCAGCAGCCCGCCCCGACACTTCAGGCCGCCCGTGAGTGGTATGCGCAGCGTGGCTTTACCTGCACGTACGTCATTCGCACAGGTGACCGCAGCGGCCAGCAGTGTGGGAGGCCGCACCCCACGCAGCGCTGCTTCGCGCGCCTTACCGACGCGTGGCGCACCCAGTTTCCTACTGCCACTGAGCTGCCGCGCTGGGCTGAGCTGGAAAAGAGGGGTGTTGATATTTGGGCTTTAGACTTTGATGCTATTCTCACTGCCATGTATGCTATGTCTATTAGTGGAGAGGGTGCTCAGTACTTGCGTGTTCCGCCCGACCCGGGCATTCAGGCCAGTCCGGCTGCCGCTCTAGGTGCTAGTGCGTCCGCTCCCACAGGTCCTGGTGAGGCTGCTGCCCTAGGTGCTAGTGCGTCTGTGCCCCCTGGTACTGAGTCAACTGCAGCACTGCACACCTTCACACTAGACTCAGGTGCTTCTCGCTCTTTCTTTCGTGACCGCACTGTCCTTGAGCCCCTCGCTCGGCCAGTTGCTGTCTCCCTTGCTGACCCCTCTGGGGGTCCGGTCATTGCGACCTCCTCCACTGTCCTTCCTTGTCCGGCGGTCCCGTCCGGCACGCTGTCAGGTCTCTACCTCCCCTCGTTCTCTACGAACTTGGTGGCGGGTTGTGCGCTCCAGGACTCGGGTGTTCACCAGTTCACCCCTGCCTACGAGCGCGTGACACACTGCACGTGTGCTCGGACGGGTCGCCACCTGGCTACTTTCACTCGAGAGCCGGGGTCGGACCTGTACACACTGACCACTGAGTCCCCTCCGGTAGCTGCGTCTGCGTCTGCGTCAGGTCAGCTGTCCGCCCCCTGCTCGTGTCGCTCTCTGGCGCATGAGACTGTCCTCTGGCACCACCGCCTTGGTCACCCGTCTGTGCAGCGCCTTCGGGCCATGCACAAACGGGACCTTGTTGCTGGTCTTCCCAGGGTGCTCCCTCCCCTTCCCGACTCGCCTGCTCCTCCCTGTATTCCCTGTGTCAAGGGGCGGCAGCGCGCCGCTCCTCACTCCTCCTCCTTTCCCCCGACGACTGCTCCCCTGCAGATGCTCCACTTGGACGTGTGGGGCCCAGCCCGCGTCCGTGGACAGGGTCAGGAGCGGTACTTCCTGCTCGTTGTTGACGACTTCTCGCGCTACACCACGGTCTTCCCCTTGCGAGCCAAGGGTGACGTACCTGATGTCTTGATCCCTTGGATCCGCAGATCTCGTCTCCAGCTCACCAGGCGTTTCCGCTCTGACTTTCCTGTCCTGCGTCTGCACTCTGACAGAGGTGGGGAGTTTTCCTCTGGCCTCCTGGAGGCCTTCTGTCAGCAGGAGGGCATTGAGCAGTCGTTCACGCTTCCGGACTCTCCACAGCAGAATGGGGTTGCTGAGCGCCGCATTGGTCTAGTCATGGAGGTCGCTCGTACCTCCTTGAGTCATGCGGCTGCCCCCCATTTCCTGTGGCCGTTTGCGGTCCGATACGCTACGCATCAGCTCAACCTCTGGCCCCGTGTCTCCTTGCCCGAGACTTCTCCGACACTGCGTTGGACGGGAGAGGCTGGCGATGCGTCGCGTTTTCGGGTCTGGGGATCCCGAGCTTTTGTCCGCGACACGTCCGCGGACAAGCTCTCCCGTCGCACTGTCCCCTGCGTCTTCCTTGGCTTTGTCCCGGACGCCCCTGGTTGGCAGTTCTACCACCCCACCTCGCGTCGTGTCCTGGCCTCTCAGGACGTCACTTTTGACGAGTCCGTCCCCTACTACCGCCTCTTCCCCTACCGCACTGCCCCGCTCCCCCCCCCGCCTCTCTTCCTCGCTCCAGGTGCTGAGGTACCAGACCCCCTCCCCCCTCAGGGTGCCGCTCCCTCAGGTGTGTCCCAGGTAGACCCGGGTGAG